GGAGGAGCCCCAGAGGCAGGTCTGGGGGCCCTGGATGTGGCCTCACACTTCCTCCGTGAGCAGGTGGGCCCTGCTTGGTTCCCCTGGGGCTCAGGGCTTGGCTGTCAGGCCGAGGGACAGTTGGTCTGGGGAGTCAGGCAGTGTTCTCCCACCAAGATTCCCCCTGCGTTTGCCTTTATTTTTACACACGGACTACAGTTAATTCTTCCATGTGACAGTTTTGCAGTTTCTGGATGCTTAGAATGGCATTTTCATCTTTGACAGATAGGTTTGGCCCTAATTATTTTGGTCCTGCATCTCTTCCTTAAACATACACTGTCCTAGTGTTTGTCCATTTCGGTCCCCCTTCAGCTACTCTTTTTTTTTTTTTTCTTCATTTCTATAGTAGTAGCTTTTATTTAATTTCTTTGTTTCTTGTCCTTCACCTTTTGATTTTCTGTCTTTTTGTCTCCATTTCCATTTTATTTACTTCTCAACATCTGCTCTTGAAGGTGGATGCTGTGTGAGGTTCAGCCCACACTTCTTGTCAAAACAGATTCAAGCAGTAGTTTCAAGTTTAATTTAAGCTAATTTGATTCAAAGACAATTTAGCCAGAAAGTGTTGACAGTGCCAAATCAAATTTAAACAGAAATACAAATGTATGTGCCAAGCTGGCCATTCCTTAATCCTCATCTTACAAGTTCTTATCTCTTAGGTGTTATTGCACTGGCTCAAGTTTAGTAGGACCCTGGGCATTTGTCAGTTTTCTACAAGGAAGAGTTGTTCATGTAAGGGAATCAAGAGTAATGACACTGTTTTGTTTCAACCTAGAACATCTTATGCAATCCTAAATTACACTTTAATTTGCCTTGGGAAGTTATGTGATTTCCCCTGTCCCATTTAAGAAACGTAATTTAAAATAAAATGCCACCACAAAGCAAAAATGCCAACAAAGGAGTTGGAATGATCTAAAAATACCTTCTAATTATTTTAGTGAAGGCTGCTTGTACATTTGAACTAAAATATCATTTTAACCCCCCTCAAATTGCTTTTACATAGTTGCTATGCCCTTTTTAGACAGCCCCAAATGCACAACTGATTCTACTGCTGGGTAGAATTCTGCATCGGTAAGACTATGCTCTGAGTAGTCCCAATGTGATATTAAGGAAATTTAGTGGATTGAACAATATGACAAGAAATAATAAAACCACAGTGTTTAAATAACACTGCCAGGAATATGAAGTGGTCTGTTCTACTCTCCAGTAGCCTCAGTAGGGAAAAAAAATTGAGGTGTAAAAGATATTCACCAAGACATAAAAAATTAGCCACTATTCTAGATTGTATGTTACATACATGTTTTTTAAAAAGCCAAACACTTAGGGGCATTAATTTTAATGAATTGGACTACTGAGAAAAGACTACTATTCCAGAGGAAGCAGCAGTGTTACTTAGAACCTGATTAAGGAAGCAAGATCATAATCTCCTCAGACAACCACATCTCTGACAACAACAGTGCATTACAGGTGATATATTCTAAGCTATATGGTATGTAGACATGCAGATAACCGTCTTGCAGCATTTTCAAAAGCAAACAAGTGTGTTAGCTACAGTTGGGTTGTGAAGAAATTGTTTTCATTAAAAAAACCTGAAATTTTCCATCGTGCTTCTTCTGAAATTTTGCAGAGACAATTTTATTTTATTATGAGGTTTTATTTAGCAATGTTTCTTGTTT